CTTCATAAATGATTTAGATTGGGGAATACAAGGGGAACTCATCAAATTTGCAGATGACACTGCTGGAAGAAAAATCCATCTGGTTCAGTTCCAAGCCAGGAGAAAGGCAAATGGGCTATTAAGAAAGACTGAGTCTGCTTTCTGTCTTTGAGAGCATGTTTCTCCATTTGTCCTTTGGAGAAATATAATATTTTGTCTTTAATATTTCCCAAAATATTTCATTCTTCTGGGGGTAGTAGGTGCTGACTTTCTACAATACTAAGCTGGCAGGAATAGCCAATACCCAAGACAAGCTCAGGATCCAAAAAGATATTGACAAACTTGAACAATGGACCCTATCCAACAAAATGAATTTTAATGTGGAGAAAAGGAAAGTTTTACATTTAGGCAGGAAAAATCAAAGGTACAGATTAGGCGAGACCTGGCTCAAAAACAGAGAGACTTTGGAGCCCTAATGGATGATCCTTGAATATGAGCCAATAGCCAAAAAAGCTAATACAATCCTTGGTAGTACAAACAGAGGCACAGAATCAAAATCATGTGAAGTATTTGTACCACTTTATAAAGCCTTAGTAAAGCCACACTTGAAATACTACATGCAGTTTTGGTCACCACGTTACAAAAAAGATGTTGAGACTTTGGAAAAAGTACAAGGAAGAGTAACAAAGATGATTAAAGACTAAAATAACTGTTACAAGATTTGGATTTGACTAGTCTAGAGAAAAGAAGGACTGGGGGACGAGGATATAATAGCAGCATTCCAATATTTGAGGGGATGCCACAAAGAGAAGGGGGTCAACTTATTTTCCAAATCACCAGGACAAGAAACAATGGATGGAAACTAATCAAGGAGAGAAGCAACCTGGAATTAAGGAGAAACTTCCTAACAGCGAGGACAATTAACCAGTGGAACAGTTTGCCTCCTGAACTTGTGGGTGCTCCATCACCGGAGGTTTTTAAGAAGAAACTGGACAGTCACTTCTCTGAAATGGCATAGGGTCTCCTGCTTGAGCATGTGGTTGGACTAGAAGACCTCAAAGGTCACTTCCACCCCTATTCTAATTTGATTAGGTTATCCGTAATCCCAAAGGTGCCAGAGGCAAGTGGACTTTCTGTTTTTTCTTTGAAGACGTTTCGCTTCTCATCCAAGAAGCTTCTTCAGCTCTGACTGGATAATGGGGAATGGAAGAATTTATACTCCTTGCAAACAGCTGTAATCCCTTTCATTAGACTAAACATACTCAATTCCTGCAACTGTTCTTCGTATGTTTTAGCCACCAGACCCCTAATCCTCTTTGTTGCTCTTCTCAGCACTTTTTAGAGTCTCAACATCTTTTTTACATCTGGTGGTGACCAAAACCAGATGCAGTATTCCAAGTGTGGCCTTACCAAGTCCTTATAAAACAGTACTAACACTTCAACGTGCTCTGCAACGTGCTCTACATGGGGCAGCCCTTGAAGAGCATTCGGAGACTTCAGCTTGTCCAGAATGCAGCCGC